GGCGATGCAAAGCTAGAGGCCACAAGGACGAATGCTGCAAATCATCCCCATCTAACAGGAGTGGACGGCATCCTCACCTTCACACAAAGGAAAGGTCAACAGCCAAACCAGCCAGTTCTACTATCGCATCCCTCAGCCTACGGGTCACCTCCGAAGACACTTCACAGCAGCAGAGGATGCATACAACCGTCCTCATCAATGGTCATCTAGTTCGTCTGCAGCTAGACACCGCCTCGAATGTTACCATCACCTCGGAAACTCAAAGGCGATCCTTCGGAAGTCCTCCACTCAGGGATATCTTTGAAACGGCAATCAGTGCTTGCGGTGGTTAAATTCACTTCCGCGGCCACATGCAATGTTGTGTTTTCTTCCGCGAAACATCCTTCACTGGCACGTGTTATGTTCTCAACGCAAAGCTATGCCTCCTTGGTCTGGATTGGTTCGAACAATTGGGTTTTTCCGACATCCCTCTCAGCTCCATCTGCAATGCCCTACAATTGTCGTCAACACCTGGCCAAAATAACGCGGACATCATCAACCAGTTCACCACGGTTTTTCAACCTGGATTGAAACACTGTTCTACGGCACAGGCTACCCTTCGCCTTCTCCCGGACGCTAAACCGGTTTTCCGTCCAAAAAGACCGGTCCCATACGCATCGTTACCGCAAGTTGACGCTGAGTTAGAACGTCTTGAACACGAAGGCGTCCTATCCCCGGTCTCATATTCAGCCTAAGCGGCCCCAATCGTTGTGGTAAAGAAGGCCAATGGTTCAATCCGGATATGCGCAGACTTCTCCACTGGTCTAAATGCAGCTCTGGAAACACATCACTACCCTCTGCCAGCCCCAGAGGACCTATTCACAATTTTGACTGGTGGAAAATACTTTGCAAAACTCGATCTGGCCGATGCCTACCTACAAATGGAAGTCGCTCCAGAGTCCCGCCCACTGCTGACCATCAATACCCATCGAGGTTTGTTCCAGTACAACCGCCTACCCATTGGAGTCAAGACCGCTCCCGCTGTTTTTCAACAGTTTATGGACACCATTCTGGCCGGCATTCCTGGAGTGGCAGCATACCTCGACGATCTATTAATCGTAGCTAATTCGCAAGATGAGTTACGCAAGAGGATCGAAGAAGTCCTTCAACGGATTCAGGACAACGGACTCAGACTTCGCCAGGAAAATGTGAGTTTTTCCTGACATCAGTAAAGTATCTGGGTTTTATCTTTGACGCCTCTAACCGACATCCGGACCCTGAGAATATCCGTGCTATTCAACAAATGCCGACTCCCAAAGATGTTCCTTCGTTGCGCTCCTTCTTGGGACTCATCAGCTATTACTCGGCTTTTCTACCGTCGATGCACAATGTCCGGCCACCACTGAATCACTTGCTTGGAAATGACGTACCTTGGGTTTGGTCCGACGAGTGCGAGACGGCCTTCTGTCAACTCAAATCAATGCTCAGTTCGGACCGGCTGCTGACCCATTATGATCCAAGTCTACCAATTGTTGTTGCAGCTGACGCCTCCGCCAAGGGCATCGGAGCCGTCAACCTCCACGTTTCCCCGACGGCACAGAAAAGGCCATAATGCACGCATCCAGGTCGCTGACAATCCTATCTGTGAATCCGGCTTGATCCATCAGATCACGGCAATCCTTGACCTGTTTATGTGGGCACATCCACATCTGTATGAGTTCCTGGCTTGTGTTACTTCAGAGTAGGGAGTTGAGGCTAGAGCATCAGACAAAGGATCTGGGGTGCAATTTATCTGAGTGTACTGTTCATGTTTACTGGCAAAATGCAACAAGAAGATCGTGATAAAATCGAGCGTATAGATGTGTACATGTTCCGATATTTTACCATAAATTTTGTTCCTGCTCTTGCAATGTAGTTATTATCGCCCTCCATGGTCATTTGACAAAGCAATTACTTAATGTGCGGGTGTGACTGCTTTATAACAAAACCTATGTTTATTATATTCGTTAGGTCGACGAAAGTGGAGAAAGCGTGTTAGATCAGAGGCCGTAACCTGCATGAATACCGATTTCAAGCTGACCACGTACCCATCGTTTGCTTCA